CCCCTCCCCCGCTTTCTCATAGAATGGCACCCATAATAATTGAAGGTTCAACAAGCAGTTGACCATCGACATACCTCGTAGTCTTCTTGACCTCTAATGGTTGTGGGAATGATAATGATGAAAGATCAAGAAAAATTTAATAATTAAAAAGTAATACAATGATATCGATGCGATTGATAGTGTACATATAACGATATCACGATAACGTCTATTACTTCTCATAGCCAATTGTCATTTCTCATAAAAACACTAGTCAACTCACGCTGTATCCCATAAAGCCAGTTGAACCAGTCTACCATCAATTTTGATGTCTGTGACGAGGTTATCAAATACAGTTGGAACCTAGAAAACACACAATTTCAGTAACGGCCGAGTTTATGGCAACTGCACATATGTCGATAGACATCAATAGAATAACCTACATAGTCCTATCGTAAACAAAAAAAAAGAAGAAGTTAATTAAAAGTCATAAATAAAAGGGACAAGAATGGCAAGAGTACATAAGACAAACCTTTGGAAAGTATCCCAACGTAAACACATTCAGTAAAGATGTTTTGCCACAAGCACCGTCCCCGACTATTACTAATTTACGCCTAATAGCCTCCTTTTTCTTTGTTGAAACGTTCATGCTTGTGTTATATATAGGATGTATTTGCTATTATTTATGTACGGTTAAAGCGTATTGTACCGAACAGTAAGGTTTTTGCAAGGCTCGATATACTATGATGGAAGAATTTGATTCTTTTATTGAATCAGTTGCAATAAGAAGTATGGAAAAGTCAGTACGTAATCGTGGGACAAGGGAAAAAGACGATGTGCTTTAATATAAAGTGGTGGAGAACAAACATATCATATGATACAACAAAAGCAACGTTAGAATCCCGAGTTTCTCACAAACAGCAAGCGCTGACAGACCTTACCTCAGAGAAATCTCATAAATTACTACTAATTTATATAGTTTTTAATATTCTATAGAAAAAAAAAAGTTCCAGGTTAGGTTCAGAGGAGAAAAACCCGACTTGATATATATGTGTATGACGGTATATTATGTATGTGTGCTTGTGTGTTGTAGTA